AAGGAGATTGAGGAAGAAGATCAAAGGTCGTAGAGTGGAAAGGTTAATTAATTTCTGGTGGGTTTTCTTGTGATGAAGAAGTGAAAAATTAAGAAGCTAGAGTAGTAGATATATACAGGATAGGTTGTTGCGGGCTTTTAACTTGTATTTCTAGAAACTAAGCACGTGGAACTGCAGGAGAGGAGGAATGTCATTACACCAATACAGAGATCAAGACATGAAAGGACAATCGTTGGTATGGTAGGGGCTTAGCCGCTCAGGCTGGGGACAATGCACCAAATTGCATATAGTCGATGAGAAACTTGGGTAAGTAATAAATGGGGGACTCCTAATATCCAATGTCACAAGCGTCTCTCTATACATGCATGAGTTTCACAATATACTATTTTATATTTTATACTAGCGGGGACCCGTGCGATCACGGAAAATTATAAAAGATTTAATAGTTTTATTTTTTATTTAATATTAATTTATAAAAAATAATTATTATTAAATGAATATGAAAAAATAGTTTTTAATAAATTTAGTTTTATTAATAATTTGTAGTAATTTTAATAATTTTATWTTTTTATTATTTTTAAATGAAATTTTGATTAATTTAAAATAAATAAAAATAATTATAAAAGGTAAAATTTTATTAATTCCACTAATAATTAAAAATTATATAGGATTGATAATGGGGTGGATTCAGGGCACGGCACCCCATCCCTTTCCCTGCCTCATCCCCAATGTCAGGCGAGTTCAGGGGCAAGGCACCCCACTCCTCATCAAGGATGGAGAATCTTCGAATTTCCCTGCCCCATCTCCCGTATTGGGCGGATTCAAGTAGAGGTGTAAATTGGGTCGTGCTGGGTTGACACGACATAACCTGCATGTGGCCCGCACAAAGTGGGAGTCGTGCCGTGCTGGCCCACGATGAATGGGGTAATTATTTGTTCAAATTATAGTTTTCCATTTCCCATAGTCATTTATATTTAATAATTTTCAATAATTTGCAATGAAATTACATAATTTTTCAATGGTTTTCCAAATCTATCAAATGTAATGAATTTTCTTAAAATTTCCAAAATATTCTAATAATTTTAAATAAACTTTCAAATACTTTATATCTTTTAATTTCAAAAATGGTATTTTACGAAAATGTAGTTTTATGAAAATTTTTTAAAAATTTATTACATTTGTGTAACTATGGGCATTTATTGATTTTTTTTAAATTGTTATTAAATATATTTTTTATTTGGTAGTTTACTAACAAAATTACACTAATTTATCTTTTATTTTTCAATATAAATTAAATCTTAATTTCATTTTTTGACATTATAATACTTTGTTCACTCATTTGTATTTGGTTATTAATTATAATAATAATAATAACTAAAATTTTATACTTTTTGATAATTGTTATATATAATTCTCAATTTTATAGAAATTAGTTAAAGAGTTTTCAATTTCTATAAAATATTGTTAATGAGTTAATTAATAACAATATTTATTAATTTTTGGTAATTTACTAATCATACTAATAAGAATAATTAATTTTGGTAATTTACTAACCGTATTTATTAACTTTTGGTAATAACACTATTTAATACTCATTGAATATGGGTGGGATTAAATATTAACCGTATTTAATTATTTATTAGTTAATATGAACATTTTGAATGAGAGAGAGTGGATATAAATTGGGGAATGCATTTTAGGAATTGGTTAGGGAGTTGGGCAACATGATACTTTTCTATTGGTTTAAATGAGATACATTAGGAGAGAGATTATAGGAATATTTTTAGGTAGTTGGGTGACATGGCTTAATGGGAGTGGTGGGAAGGGGATATGAGAGAAAGTCAAAGAGATTGCAAGGTGGGGATAATGAAACAAGGAGAGGCGTGGTGGCGAGAACCCGTGCTTTGTTAAGCGAAAGTGAAACAATAGACCTAAATCGATACAACCCAAGTTGGTGGGTTTTTGCTAATGGTCAATCGGTTTTCATTGACAAAATGAGGACTTGATCAGATTGATTTTTTTGGCGAAACAACTTGCAACTGTACTGAACCAATCATTGAACACTCCTAATTTTAACTAAATTTATAGTCTAATATCTAATAAATGACAATAGTTTAATCTCCAATAATTATTGAAAATTTATAGCAAAGGTACACAATCATTGAAAATAAGTTTATAATGAAAATATAATAGATATATAATAAACTATAATAAATACTGAAAATATACTAAATTAGTCATTAAATAGTGTAATCTTAAATAATAGTTTAATCCCTTATAAGTATTACTCTATAAATTATAAAAATATATAATTATTAAAAATAAATTTATAACAAAAATAGAATAAATACAATAAATTAAATTTCAAAAGTTAAATAATAGTTGTTTAATCTCCAACACTTATTGTTAATTTTCTATTAAATAAAAAAATAAAAATACATTTATAAATAATTATTGAAAGCATATTTATAAAAAACAATAAATAATTTCTGAAAATAAAATAAATATTAAATATAGTATATATAAATTTATAATTAATATACACTATTATTGTAAAATTATTACTGATAAATATAATTCTGTTGATAGTTATTTTCTATAATTATTAATTGATATAAGTGAAGTTAGTTATTTACAATATTATTTAGTTATTGAAATAATATTGTTATTTAAATTCTTGAAATATTAATTATTTATTGTTACTATACAATTTCATAATGAATTTTGTAAAAATATTGAATTATTAATAATATGAATATTATTAAATCTATTAATTTTCTGTGTTTTGAATAAATATTTTAAATTTAGTATATAATTTCATTAAAACATTTAAATAGTTCTGAATTTTTTTTAATTGAAACTTTCTTTAGATAGATATAGATAAAAGGTGGGGGAGAGGATAAATAGGAATTAGAGATAGCTTAGGAGAGAATCTTTCTGTTAAATTAGAGGTAGTTTAAGAGATAAATAGGAGTTAGAGATAATTTAGGAGTTAAATAGGAATTAGAGGCAATTTTGTCGGAATTAGGGGAAAGTGGTGCCACTTGGATAAACATTAGAAAAGCAAATCCCTCTTTCCTTATGGTTGTTAGAAATAATTAAGCATATTTGATTTCCTTATTGGTTTAATGGGTAATTATGTGAAATTAAAAAAAAAAAAAAAAAAANGAGATAAATAGGAATTAGAGACAATTTAGGAGAAAGTGGTGCCACTTGACTAAACATTAGAAAAGCAAATCCCTCTTTTCTTATGGTTGTTGAAAATAGTTAAGCATATGTTATTTTCTTATTGGTTTAATGGGTAATTATGTGAAATAAAAAAAAAAAAAAAAAAACAGAAAATTAGGAAGGGGTGTTTGAAGCAAGGAGAGGGCTTGGGTTGAATCGGGTAGGAAAGCTTATCTGTACACCTATTCTTCCGCTAGAAAATGGTAGATCCAAGCTGTCTATTTGGCTAGCTAGGGGACACCACATTTTATGGAAGTTTTGGTTGCGCGGCTGCGCAACATAATTAATTTTGTATGTTCATTCAAGCTTTCAATTTTGTAATTCAGAAAAGCCCATTTAGTTGAAATTTAGGTTGTATTTGGATAAGTTTTAGGGTTTATATTCTGCTGAAATGACTTAATTGTTGAGATAGTCACTTGGCACCCCTCTAAATATGAGGCTTCTGATTGGTTCCTAATTGGTTCCTACTGCATGATCCATTTTGATTCCAACTATTTGTTTGGTTGTATGAGATTCCCATTCCTCTTTTTGGAGGAATGGAATTCCACTCCAGCGTTAGTCAAGAAGTAAAGAATTCATGACAAAAAAAAAACTTCCAAACCCTAATACTAATAAAATAATAAAAATAATAATAATAATAAGAAGAAGAAGAACAAAAATATTAATTATTAAATATAATAATAATATAAAAATATTGATAAATTAATAATAAAAGGCAAAGATATTATTTCTTAATGATAATAATAATTARKTACAAWTAAAATGTTAACATAATATAATAAATTAATAATAAAATACTAAAATATTAATTATTAAACAAGAACAAACTAATTTTAAAAAATAAATATTGATAAAATAATAATAAAATATAATAGAGCAATAAATTATTAATAAAATATAATAACAAAAATATTATTATATTAATAATAAACTACTAATATGTTAATACAATTTTCATAAATCAATGATAAATACTAAGATAATAGTTATGAAATACTAATAAAATAATAATTATATATTCATAAAATATTAATAAAGTAATAATAAAATAATACAAAATTGAAAATTTTTTAGTTGATTCTGATTCCAATTCCCGATTGAACCAAACAAGTATCAAGAATAGGTGATTCTGATTTTGATTCATGGGGGTTTAAATTCTAATTCCAATCTGGTCCATAAACGACATGGACCCTTAGTATCATACGCATGAAACTTTACGCTCTCCATAATATAGCCAATGGGTCTCATGTGCACCCGCTCCTGTCGAAAAACTATGTTCCAATACATTCCAACATGCATGATATGCGTCTGCACATCTCATATATGGTGGGTGCCAATCTTATGGTAAGATGTGCAAAACATATCATATTGGAAGAGTGGTGAGACAGTTTTTGTTGGGAGGAGACACAACTTTGTTCTGCCCCGCCCTTATTCCCCTATAGTGTGGAGTATGTAATGCCAAAATAAGGGGCTTACAACTGTTTTTGAATTTAGATTATTATGTTTTCAGAAACAACACTATTATCAAATGTACTTCAAATCATTTTTTTTTGCTTAGTTTTGTTTCCGCCCAAATTACAAAAACAAAGGCTCATTATGAGTTCTGAGAAGCTCATGGCCGGCTCAAAGAGATGGCGTTAGCACCCATTTTTTTTATAGGAAATGGGCCCTCATTTTCAGATTTGAAAAATTCGATTTAAGTCTTTGATAGTGATGACTCTGATCTTCATGTAAAAGGTACACAACTGAGAGATTTTGTGTCCCAAGGATTGGGAGAGGGAAGGTATTAGGCACCCCTCTCTCCAAGCTATTGTATCAGCCCAATAGGGGAGTTATTCAAACTTAATTTATTTCAAAAAACCAATAAATGTAATTGCTAGGATTTATGAAATCTAGAGAAACGTGTTCTCAGCTTCTTTTGAGACCGATTTTGAGGTGATGTTATCGGGTCTTAGGTACTAATTTCCCTAAGACCCTCGCCTCTTTGCCTCTATACTTAGTCTAGAAGAAGTCAAGAACAATGCTTGTCTAAGGTCTCAGAACTTTAAACGATCCAGAAAAACTAAAAAAGACTTACCTTTCGTACGTAGCTTGTCAACAATTTTTCAGTAGCTAAAGATGAGTTACAATGAAGTTTAAATGGGTTATTGAGTTAGGGAGTGCTTCTAGTTGCAACAACTTCCGCTTGAAAATGGAGGAGGCAAGTTTGGAATCTGAGGTTCAGAGTACCTCCGAATTTCGGGTGAATAGGGAGCAGTATATAGGCTAGGAGAAAGCTCTTTTCTCTCTCTCTCTCTCTCTCTCTCTCTCTCTCTAGGGACCTCCTTTAGGTTTCCTTCCTCTAGTCTTCTTTGAGCTCGAATTAGATCAGTATTTATAGAGAAAGGGAGGGGGGGTCAAGTTCGAATTCATTCAGCTATAGTGCCTGGGATTCAACAGAGGTTTTTTACTCAAATAGGTGAAGATTCTCTAAAGAAATAGATGCCCAATCAAGCTTTCCTATTTAGTGAAGCATTTACTTCGATTTGGAGGTGGTTTCCACGGGTTTTGTGTGTCCAATGGGAGCTTGGGGCGTACCTGTCATGGCAATCTCGTATTTGGGGTTGTTAGTGGTAGAAAAAGTAAATTTGATGAACTTTTAAATGTGATTTTGTCTTTTCTCAGCTTTAAGTGGGGGTAGTACCTTTAGGTTTTTGGGTTTTTTTGGGGTCTATTAGGCTCAATTTCATTGGTCCAGGTGTTCTAATGGGTCAATAATGGGTCTAGCATTAGCCATCACTCTTTTGAGGCTTCAGGTTGAGATAAATGACATGGAAACTTAATCTGGTGCCTTGAAACGGTATCTTTCTAGTTTAACGGTCAAACGGATGAATCTGGTCATGAAATTTGACGTRCTGGGGTTTTTTGGGTCTTTGAACACAGTAGTGAGGTCAGATTAGACAAATAGGGTCAAAATGATACAGACCTATGGCTAACAAGTTTGGATCAACAAAATTTGTTGAAATAGAGTATTTATTTAGTGAAGGGTCAAACAGGAGAATTTTGGAATGGAATTTGGTGGGTTAGCACTTTTGAATGTCCTTAATCTAATGGACGTGATGGATCTTTGACTAGAGGTGTAGATTGACCGATTTAATTCAGATCATGGTCTTAGCTTATGGTTTTTCAATCAACGAAAGAGCTCATAATGGAATCTTACTTTTTCAACGGTCAAATGGAGGTGTTTGGTCATGAATTTTGATGTTCTGGGGTTTCTGGGGTTTCCGAATATAATGGTGAGGTCTGTCTAATTGGTCATATGAAACCGGGATGATAAATGGTAAGCTTTAATTTATAAAATTTACTGAAATAGGAACTAGGCTTGATGGTGGGTCAAACAGGGGAATTTTGAGCTACAATTTGGTGAATAGGCACAGATTAAGGGGAGGAGTCAAGTGGATAGTTCTGATCTAAGAAAGATATGGTCGATCTTGGTAATTGTTCAGGGCCATCAAAATAGGACATTGGTGTTTTTGCGATTGATCATCGTAGATTTGTGGTGGAATTCGCTAGTTGATTGCTTCCTAGTGATCTTGAGGTAATGGATATGTTGGATTTGATTTTGAAGATTGGAGTTTGAATGTCACATAGATCGGGGCAATTAGAAAGGGGTTAACATGATGAACGATGGATAATGTTTGATGGATGTATAACTAAGTAATAGTTTTCTAAATTTGGAGATAGTGTCTGATCAAACGTTGATGTTAATCTTAAGGTTCTTATTTGTCTTGTGGGTTGTGTCAAATGAGGGTATTTTGGATTTTGGAAAGTGTCAAGTTGATCTGGCTATGTTTCCAAGTTTCTCGGTCTAAAAGGAAGGTACGAAAAGGTAGGGTAAAGGGACCGAGCAAAAATTAGGTGTTGACACTCATCAAAACAAAGATTTTTTAAGGAACTGAAATGGATATTAACATTTTCCATAACCCCATACCAATTCCGGTGTTGTATCAAAAGGTCGATTGACTTGAAGACCAAATCAAGATTTTGAAAAGTGATTTTAAATGAGAATAACTCATCAGTCTTATTTAGGGGTATTTGAATTAACAATTCATGTAAATGGAATTCCGAAAGTATGGAAGTTCAGCCACAGATTGAGAACATTTTTCCATAATTTAAGATATTCCTAATGTCAATCTGGATGCTATGTAAGCAGAGATTTTGCTTGTAGGAGATCCACGCTCTTAAACAAATGGAGAATTTCTACCTAGAGAACAGCCTTGATGGGGTTTTTATGAAGGGATATCAGTTATCGTGGATCTCAGCCCAGCCCACATCAAGCTTAGCGCAGAGCACCTCATCCAAAATGCATGAAGTCTCTACAAAGAATTCTACCATTATTAAGGTTTGGAAAGATTTTACACAGCAGCTTCAGGCTTTGGGAGGTGGGTCCCACCAGGATAGCTTATAAAGACATGTTGGTGAAAACCTTGGAGAGCTTGTCTGAAAGCCAAAAACATGGCTTTCCACTACTGAAGCTTCTTTCATTGGCTTCTCCAAAGCAATTCAGTGAAAGCAGCTCGATCAACCAACACTACAGACCTCCCAAACAGGCCCTAGATCCAAATCTTGGAGTTTTACGTATGTTTAAGACTTGCTAGACCATAAAGAGTAAGAATGTTGAATCAATATCAGGGGAAGTAGAAAGAAAAATCAATAAGCCCAACAGATATCTTAACCCATTAWAGCATTTCATTAGTTTKG